ATTCTACGCATGGAAACGCTGTTGAAATGGAGCCTGTTCTCAGCTTCCTAATTGCATTTGTCATGTAGACGGTTTACAAAAACCACACGTTTCAAAGATAATTTGATTCTACGCATGGAAACGCTGGTTGAAATGGAGCCTGTTCTCAGGTTCCTAATTGCATTTGTTATGTAGACAGTTTACAAAAACCACACGGTTTTTATTCGTCATCTGTCTCATGTAAACAGCCCCTCAATTGTGCCCAACAAGTCAGTGTAAAAGAATAAAACGTATGAATAATAAAAAGAAACGATGGTCAAATGTTCATCTCTGTCCACGGCAAACCCTCCGCATGTTCTGGTGAAGCTCTGTCCACCTAACTTATTTATTTTTGTCGTTTTTACCCTCAATTGTGCCCAACAAGTCAGTGTAAAAGAATGAAACGTATGAATAATAAAAAGAAACGATGGTCAGATGTTCATCTCTGTCCACAGCAAACCCTCCGCATGTTCTGGTGAAGCTCTGAAGCCCACCTAACTTATTTATTTTTGTCTTTTTTGCTTCAACCTTTTGTCGCATCGTTTTCCGTTGTTGGTATCTCTTCGCGCTCACATGCTCTTTCGGTTCAATACAATTTGTAAGACGTGCTCTCTTTGTTTAGTTGCACTGGAAGCCCCCAACAGCATATGCGCACAACTCTGACATTCTCCCCTAAAATAAGAAAAAAAAATAATAATAATGGTACGCTACTGGCTGTTTTGCTTTCTTCTTTATTTTAGAAACGATCTGCCATTTCCCCGAGTGGTTTCTATCAGTTATTTCCCTGAACCAATCCTTCGGCTGTTGAATTTGCAAGCTTATTAAACTTCAGTCCGTCCAAACATGATGTAAGATCCAATAAAAGCCAAACTGCTTGGTTGGGAGGTGACGCCATAGTGGCATCATAAAGGCAACAGTTCAAACCACCCATGTGCCATTTTGAATGAACGCTTTCTCTTTGATTTAATTACATAATGAATCATTTAAAAACGTGGGGGTGGGGGGGGGGTTAGAATTCTCACCACATGTGACCTCGATGCCCTATCTGTTACCCTCAGAGCCTGAATAACAAATAACTGTTGACAACCAACTGTCCTTGAAGTGTTTCTGCAGTGTGTTGTTTTATGTTCCATTATTTTAGCAATCAATTACAGGCGTTGTGGCTATCATTCCGCCCAAGGTTCCCCGCAATATTTTTGACATATTCATAGAAGTGTTGTGGCATTCTCAAGGAGGAACTCGGTGCGTGGGGAGCGTTGATTTAACGTGTAGATTTGGTGTCTCATAAATTGAAGCCCCCTTGAGACTTTACGGTGATTACATTCAATCCGAAGAAACGATAACAGCCGAGAGCAGCTCTTGCTCTTCCGCATACATTGTTTGTACCTCGCCTTTATCAAATATAAGCATGGCCTGAAAACAAATCATTCCGACTAGTTTATTTGCCTGGGAGTGAACAGTTTTTCAGAAATAACCAAATCAATCGTTGCTTTGAAAAAGTGTCAGGACGTGTAGTGGCTCGCGTTGCTGTGAAACAGTGATGTTTTATCTGCCACTTTGGTCATTGAGCGCAATTGACTAGGCCGATCTAAGTGCATCAGACCTCTCCCGTCTTTTATAAGATTACGGGCTACAAAATTAAATAGAAGCATGTGCAAAGGTTGGGGTGGGGTGGGGGGCGGGGGGGCAGGAAGGCAGGGCTGAGGTAATGTCACAGTTTCTGATCTTTATTGGGAGAGGCACAAATAAGTGTGCCGTGTGCACAACCACACACACGCACACACATGCACAGAATTGCCTGTATTGATTAGTTGTTAAAAACAAAAAACAGTTGAGGTCAGCAGGCACATGTCTGAATTTCTTTCTCTCTGTCTCTCACACTCCATTTGTCTCTGTCAGATTCAATACTCTCCTTGACCCATCAGGGGGTCTCGCTTTAGCCACGGTTGCAGTTCCCTTCTTCAGGCCTACTCTTACACTCTGCTGTTTGCTTGAGTCTTTCTCTTCGCCCTTCATTGATACACACCAAGGCGCCAAACAATTTTCTGAAATAATCAAAATCACAAGCGATTTTATCACCATTGTCAAAGGAACCTTCACAACTCGTAATTTTATGTCAGTTCGCTGATGCAGCAGGATACAAATCATCATAATAAAAATGAAATATCGATTAGGAAAAAAGAAAATAAACAATGTGAAACAGACCTTAGTTTTAGGTGAGAAGGGTATATTCAGTGTTCATGAGTCTGAAAGCTAGCAGCCTGTGAGCCTCCTTCCTGTAGACCAGGGGTGTCAAACTCATTTTTGTCGCGGGCCACATTTTAGTTACCATTTCCCTCGGAGGGCCGTTATGACTGAAACCATATAATAACGATTTATTCAACTATTGTTTAAGTTTCTGTTATGAGGGGTTTGATCACAAGAAAATGGTTACAATATGTCTCTAATGTATTAAATATGAGAATTTTAAATTTTGGTAGAGAGTTTAGCAAGCATCATGGAAGTGGACATGTTTGATTTGCTTTCGCGGGCCATATAAAATGATGTGGCGGGCCAGATCTGGCCCCCGGGCCTTGAGTTTGACACCTGTGCTGTAGACAGATTCATACCCATGGGTGCCAGGGATGGGGAATATCTTGCATCTCCGACACTGTTACCTCTGTCATTAATGCTCCTTGGTGCACGTTCCTTGTTGCTGCTGTCCCCGTTTTTTGCAGTATGTCATAGCGCTATAACAGATTTTTCTTTTTTTTTTTTTTTACTGTCAATACTCCTTCAGATTTCAAGGCTGCATGAAGCAGGCTTGAATATAAGCCTCGTAGATAGAGCTGATACCTGATCGATAATAGCCAGACCAATCAGTCATTGACTCCTCCATCTAGCCCACCCCCCCGCCCACAAACCGACAACCTATCTGATCGCTGCGCTTCACTTCCAGCTGCCATAGCTGCAGGGCTCATTTGTCCTCCAGTGTTGGTGTCATTTGTCTTCACGTTTGCCTTCCATCTGATAGTTCAAATGCTTTACAGATGCCCTTTAAAGCTGTCACTGATTTATGTGTCCTTGACCTTACACTTCTAATTCATGCTCATCTGACCTCAGATTAAAAAAAAAAAAATTATCTCTTATCTAATTACTTGAGATGGTTCTCTAGTGCAAATGCAATCCTTCCCCAAACATTGCTACTTGTAAAAATCTGATGAATGAATTTTGAACAAATATAAAAGCTTGCATCGACATGTGGCAAGGCATTTCTTGGTGTCATTCTGGGAAAAAAAAAAGCATTTGGATTAATAATGGCTGCAATTGTCCAAGATGTTATGGTCCCTTACTTTTAAAGCAACGCTGTTTGAATTCTTACAACACCCGAGGTGTCTATCAGGGATGTTCCAGTGTTTTTATGGCCATCGTTTCCTATACTTACAATCCTTCACTATCTCATTCCCCTCATTTGCATTTACATTTTGGACATTTGGCAGGCACAGGTCTCTGGAGTGACTAGAAATGTTGCTCATTACCACAATCGCATCGGTTTAAATGAACATACCACGTTTAGCAAAGATCAATTTATTTCCATGATGAGATAACCATCAGAAGATGAAATGTTACCCCAGAAAAAAAAAAGGTTCTTCAATCACATTAACTTATGTAAATGAAGTCAAGCGGATTAATTACATTCAAATAATCACCCATTTAAAAAAAAAAAAAAACAAGCAAGAAACTTATAACCACTGTTTGTGATGAAAATATGTTTTTGGGTGAAAGGAACCCTCTATGTGTGCTAAGGATAAAACCAAAATGCATATCCTTTGCATATTCTTTGTCCAGGCCATTCTTACGTTGATGAACCAGTAGGTCCTCCATCTGCTGGCGGAATCCCGAAATACAATTGGGACACAGTAGTCATATTTTGTCACTGTAGTCAGTATTTATCATGAAGAGATGTTGTTTTGCGTGGTATTACGGTATAACACAAGGCAGCGGGATTATTTTCTCTAAAGGGGGTCTGAGAAAATAATTTATACATTTATTTAAGAATATAAAAGAAAAGGCTGGAAGGGCTTTGCTGGGGCTACACAGATTTCTGACAGGGTAGTAACTCCTTTGGCCCTGTGTTGCGTCATCCCTGGCACAATGACCGTATGTCTGAGCAAAAATCAGCACGAACTCATTGGAATAATAAATGGGCGTTGTTTTGTTTTTGAAAAACTTGAAAGGCACACAATTTTATTTTTTTCACCTTTAATCTAAACATCCATCCATCAATTCTCCAGGAGGGTATTGGGCGTACTGGAGCCAATCCAAACTGTCTCAGGCGAGAGAGGTGGAGTACACCCCGAACTGGTCGCCAGCAAATCGCAGGGCACAAATAGACAAACACCCAGAAATACTCACATTCACATTTATGGACAATTTACAGTCTTCAATCAACCTAATTAACCTACTTGTCCATATTCAATAAATGGTTATCCATCATTGTAAATTCAAAGGATATTACCAGGATTCTTTAGGCAAAACATATTGTGTTCTCTGAAAAGATTAAACACATTAAAAATGTTGAAATGTAAACAAGACTATATGAATATTCTTCATTAATCACGTTCTACAACTGTCAAGCCACTTTCTTCACACATTTCGAACCAGATTATAACCATTCACCTGTTAATGAGAATGTTATGATTTCTTTTTTTAACCTCATTCAGGACATCTTGGGAACTATTTTCCAAATTGCATCTCACATTACAAAAATTCCACATTTTACACATTAACATACTGCATTTTGCTCAATGTACATTGAAACAATTCTCTTAATTCCACAGAATTTCAATGCGGCTTCAGCTCTTCAGCAGTTTCTCGAGAAATTGTCTTACATTATCCTTTCGGAAAACAAAAAACTCGTCATTTGACGCACTGTACACTCCACGGCAATAGGTGGCGCCCGTTCTTCTGACATGCAAACAAAGAAGTGGTTGCAAAGCGGAAGAGACGTGGCACAAAAACAGAAGCAGGAAGTTTATTCATGACAGCTCCCTCGCATCATTCCTTCTTTCAAATTTCCACATAAAACAGAGTGAATGTCATCCTTCCAACGTTCCCTAAAGCCACCGGGACTTGATTGAAGTCTGTGTTACAGGTAAATTTGCCGTTGACGATTAACGTTTGGATTGCTTCTGCTCTATTAGCTAGCATACCTAGCATGCTAAGTAGACATTGTCTGAGGAGCCAATGCCTAAATGTCACGTTGACACGTTGGGTACATTTAAAACTAAGGCAAGTAAACGCTGGCGAAGCCGAGGCGATGTGAACGTTGTATTAATAAAATGTAGTCATTGATACCCTACGGCTCGTCAGACTAAAGTAAAGTATTGCAGTTACTAAAATGTATAATAAAACTGAAGGTATGCAATATGGCTTATGTTAACCGTATCAGTGTATTAAATTTGATTGACTTAAAATAAAAAAGGTAATTGTTAAAAAGAGCCAACTGATAAGTTAAAATAGTATTTGCTTTGAAGATTAGATTGAGTAGTGCTGCAGCATGACACTATATTAGAGTAGTACCAAAGTAATACTGTATACATTGAGTACTGTATTCGACCAATTGCCTGACAATGTCAATAGCAGTGCAGAATTAAGTTTTGTTACCATGTTCTCTGTATGTTGGTGAGGGAAAATGACATTTCTGTTTTCCCCACAGGGGGCTATGGGTCTGTGCAAGTGTCCAAAGAGAAAGGTGACCAATTTATTCTGCTTTGAGCATCGTGTAAATGTGTGCGAGCATTGCCTTGTCTCCAACCACAACAAGGTCAGTGGGAGAAAAAAGGATGCATAAACATTTCCATATTCATAATCATAATGACATCATGAGGTTTGTTTCCCCTGTGCTCCTTTCAGTGCATTGTACAGTCATATCTGCAATGGCTTCAGGACAGTGATTATAATCCAAACTGTCCTCTGTGCAATAATCCGCTGATTGCTGAAGACACCGTCAGACTCATCTGCTATGGTGAAATTTCTGTCCTCTTCAATCTACATCAGTAGCAGACCATTTTGAGATGTGTGAAAGAAAAGCAATAATGTGGGAATGAAATCTGCTACTACTCATTCATATCTCGCTGTTTACATTGTATTGCACCAACCTCATCATTCACGTTGCTATGTTCCTCATTATTTGAACTGAATTGCGTGACCATTCCGTTGATTCCCCCCAGATGTTTTTCACTGGACCTGTCTTAACAACTTGGCATCCCGCCTGCCCCTCCATACGGCGCCAGCGGGTTACCAGTGTCCCAGCTGTCAGGGTCCAGTGTTTCCCCCTTCCAACCTGGCCAGCCCGATTGCTGATGTGCTTAAAGAGCAGCTGTCTTCTGTTAACTGGGCGAGAGCAGGTTTAGGGTTGCCACTGGTAAGGAGTAGGACCTACAGAGTACACCATATTAACTGAGAATGAAATGTTGAGATTTCAATCGTATGGGGATGAAATGTGCTCTCATGAGCCACTCCATTAGGCATACCTTCTAATGAGATCCTGTACAACAATGGTAAAACTCAATTTTGCCTTCCAGCGATGTACAAATATACTGCATCACGTTGAGATGGGAAATCAATCAAATATTCGAAACAATTTCCATATTATTTCAAATGTGTTTATCTCACGTGTCTGCCACAGAGTTTAAAGGGCCTGGGTTTGAATGTAGTCTCATGCTTTCATGTGTAGAGGTTGCATGTTTTAACCGTTCATGCGTAGGATTCCGGCGTCTCCCACGGTCCAAAAACATGCTTGTCAAGTTAACTGAAGGCTGAATCAGGAGTGTCAAACACATTTTCATCACGAGCAATATCGTAGACTCAATTGAGTGGAAATGATCTTTTTCAAGTCATACCTCTGTGCACCTTATGATGTGTCCATACTACAGTGTGTATATTTTCATAATCCAATGCAGGTTGACGAGCCAGTCGATATCCTTCAGGAAGTTACAGCAAATGATGTTACAGACTACACTGACTGGTCCTCATTTGATGGTGAGTCCACGTCCCTTTGTGTTTGCAGTTTTAATTTCTTGATTGGTCCACTCCCTTTCTTTCTTTGCGGTTCCAGCACAAGAACAAAGTCACATTTACCACAGTCACTCCCACAATGCCAGCCTCAGCCAAGCGCCTGTTTCATCCCCAGCAGAGGACAACTTTGGGCTTCCGCATAAGAATGGGGATCCGCATAGCCAAGATCACTCGGTAGTCAACTTTCCAGAAGCCACTACATGCGACACAATTACTATTCACGCAGGTAAAGAGAGAAAAAAAAGAATGTCTGAAATACATTGTCTCATTGATTAGCAGGTTTTTTTTTTTTGGTTTAATCCTGCGGTAATTTAGATTGGCAATTAATACAAAATATTGTTCTTCAGGGTCATCGCCAAGAAAGATCTATGACACGAGGGACAACAGCTCTGTCACACAGATTGACTTTGATGATGACAAGTACAGACGACGACCAACATTGGGCTGGTTTGCGCGAATTCTCAAGTAAGTTCCGTAGTATGGGAGTCTCTATCATTTTAAACTATTGTAGTTAATGTGTAATGGACTCTGTGTTGGTTGTCTTTCAGGAACTGTACAGGCACGAAACGGGCATCTCTGACCTGGAAACAGCGGGTCTTCATGTTCCTTTTGGTTGGTGTGCTGGGATTCTTTACTTTGATTATCATAATGGCTAAACTTGGACGTGCCTCAGCTGGTTCAGACCCAAATTTAGATCCTCTTCTAAACCCACACATCCGTGTGGGCAAAAACTGAAATCAGGCATTGATTACCAATTTTTACCCAACCTTGTGTAGAAAACCCAGATAGGCACTGTAGTACACGATTTGGCCAGCAGAGAGAGACATTTACCCACCAGGAACTGAGAAATGGAGGCCATCTCTCATTCATGAAAGTTCTTCCCATTAAGGACCAACAAAGGTGTATTCAGGTGAATAGGTCTGATGGAAGCAATATTTATATTTACCAGTAGACTGACTAATAGCAAATATTACGGAATCTTAAACTATGATGTATATAATTCTGAATGTAAAAAAAAAAAAAAAAACAACCAAAAAAAAAAAAACGCTTCCACATTAGTTGCAAAAGTGCAGTGCATCCAAACTGGAGTCGAAACACACCTAATTATGAACATATATTTGAAAATTGAGTGCTTTTAAATACTTTTATTTATGTTCATCTTTCTGCTCTTTTGAGTTCTTTTTCTTTTTTTTGGGATTGTCCATTAAATGGGAATACTGCAGAATTTTGTCATTGTGGTGCCTATTCATTAACCACTTCAAAAAGAGCAACATCACTCCAAAAGCTCTTCTTAGTACAGCCTACAATCTAAGCTTTAAAATTATGAACCATTGACAGTTAATTACATTGAATATTTTGTTCATTGTTATCCTATGGCAAGACGAGGAGGTCAAATTGGCATGGAGGAATTAACTCACTGTGGTGAACAAGAGAGTGGCACTCAAAATAGTTTTCACAGGTCGAGTCTGTTAGATCCAGAGTTTTATGTCCTATGGGGGAATTTATTGAACTTTATAGAAGCGTCACTAATCAGGCTGCTATAAATCCCTCATTCACTGCTTTTGTGGATTTGCCATCCAAAAATGTCATGTAAAAAAAAAAAAAAGTGAGAGACTGAGACAAATCATTTCAATCTTGTACCACAGTTCTGACCTATATGTACATTTATTTTAAGAGGAAATGTTAAATGGGTTTCTGCCTCTGATTAATCCCAAATAAAGTTCAGGTGTTTGAGTAGGCTGTTCCTGACATTTTTATTTTTAGCATAAGCCTAAAGGTTTTGTCCACTGTTTATAATTTCCCCCCGCCCCACATTGTGAAAGGCCGAAGTTCCATCTGAAGAAAAACTGCCTCAAATCCTGATGCTGCCACCAACATGCTTCACAGAAGGTACAATGCATTTGGTGTTTTAGTGGCGATAACAGCAAACACACCTTTTGCAAGTTTGGCCAAATGGTTCAACCCTGGTTTCAACATTTGGAAAACACACTTGAAATTTCCCAAAAGCATGCCAGCCAATGTGTTATGGCTCACTGAAAAAAGTGGAAGTAAGTTGCCTGAGTTGCCTTATTTGTGTGTGTGTGTGTGTGTGTGTGTGTGTGTGTGTGTGTGTGTGTGTGTGTGTGTCTTTTAAATGCAATCAAGTGGTCAAGGTTATATAATGGTGGAAAATGTTTTGAAATGATAGCGGTCTCATTTTTTTTATATCACTAAAACATGGCATTTGAACGAGTGTACAGATGTTTGATACCCCATGGTGTTTGTCTCCCGATAATCCACTACATCCAGAATGCTGCATCTGTGCTATGCATTTGATAATATGAAGCATTGACTCATGCTGTTCTGTGGTTTGACTTTTAAGAACCCCAGGCAAGGCGAGTTGGGAATATTCACAAGTACGTCATGTTTGCACCGCGTGGGTTCTTTTGTTTAGCTCTTCCAATTTTCCATTGCATTAGCCAAACCGTTACTGGAGGTTTTCGCATTGATACTGAGTGGATCCGAGCCATGTTCCATTGATGCAGGGAAAGGTGCCGTTGGCGGTGGTTATTAATACACTTTCTGCAGAGTGACAAAGAATGCGTACCTGTTTTGTCTGTCACAAGGCTTGTGGTAAATTCCTTTTGGGTTTTCCTCAACGTTGCAGCTTTAATTAATGCCGCATTTTATGGTTGGGTTGCTATTCTATTGGAGTTCAATGCATTTCTCACTAACTTTGAGTGTTAGCTTGCCAATTGCACTGACATAATAGGGGCATCCTGATCAATAGGTTGCCACATTCATACAGTAAGCATTGCTGTTTGCAGTCTATATTCCTTTCTTCTCCCATGATGCTATTCGCTGCTGAAACATCATCTTGACATCCAGTGATGTTCATGCATTGTGTGTGTGTGTTTTTTAATCTGTCCCATAAATAACCAGTTCTTCTCATTCTGTGCTACTAAAGCACACCTCTACCCTCGCAACTGACCCATGTCATTGGGTGACACTATTGAATTTTGTGTGTGTGTGTGTGTGTGTGTGTGTGTGTGTTACACACGCCTCACCGTTCAAATGGAAAGGGAATGACACACAATGTCATTCAGCTTCTGGCACAAAGTATCAGTGAACATCTCTTTGCGCTTCATCCCGGTGGCTGCTCCGTGACTGTAAGTAAACACAGTAGATGTATGAATGAATTGGTTGATTGAAATGAGTAAAGAAAACAAATTTATTCATCTCAGAACCCCGTGACTGCTTTTTAATTGAATCTTCATACAAACAAGTGAATTCATCTTCACTCGGTTGAAGTTATTTATTTGAATCTAAGTTAATGACTTGTTGGCATGTGTAGTGCTTGCAAAATCCTTTCTCATGTTTCATTGTTTTCTGCAGCAGAGCGATGTTTGTAAATTTGTGGAAAGCAAAAAAAAAAAAAGTTGAATGTTTATAAAATTCATTTCCATTTTCGTAAATGGCTTCCACCTGACAACTTAATTATTTCACCCTTTCTATCAGGCTAACGGACGATTTTTAGGGTAAAAAAACAAGAAATGTGTGACCCTCAACAGAAAGTCAAGAACAAAAAAACAGATGCCCAATCTCAAAAAATGAAACACCACCATCACTCCAAACAAAACCACCGTCACCTGCGTCATCATCAGCAGACGTTCCGTCAGTCAGATGAAGAAGATGACCAAGAGTGAGTAAATTATACAACACACAGCCCGCACTTTGCTATTTCAATTGCTAAGTATTTCAATTATTATTATTATTTTTGTAATTTCATCATTTCAAAACCCATGTTCTGTTATTGAAATAGCGCTCATTCAACAGCGGAGGACAGCTTGCTCAACGATCACCTCCCTCATCATCAACATCATTCTCATCGTTACCGCCACAGGCCAAACCATGGCCGGCTCTCCCTTTCCGAAACTTCTTTCACATCTTCATATGATTCCTCTTCATCCACTTTCTCCTCTTCATCAGCAACGGCCTCCTCTTCTTTGGGTTCTTCATCATCCAACTCCTCCTCTACCTCGGCATCTTCCTCGAGTCTGTCATCCGAGAGCAGCAGCGAAGGTTCAGACAGATTCCTCCTTAGGAGGCCTCAACATTCCCAGTCTTGTACAAACATTTATGAGAAGTACAGTGAAGATGGAGACGACACAGCACCTTTGATTGGTAGCAAGGGTCATGTAGGTAAGCAGAAACGGGCAGAGGGAAAGTCTGCTCACAACGGCGCCAAACAAGGCACCCAGAAGAAGACACACGAGAGTGCAAGTTTCCGCAAATCCAAATCAATGGAGGCCCTCACTTGCCCCCCAGAAAAAGAGGGGCACGCAAACGAAGAAGAACAGGAGAAGAAAAAAAACGAAGTCAGAAAGAATTTAATGAAGGAGAAAATGAAGTTCTCCGCCTTCCTCAATGAGATCACTCGACAAGTGCTCAGCCCAATGAGACTCACCACGCTGGGTGTCACAGATGCTCAGAAACCAAGCAGCACAGAACCCACCTCTGTTCGATCCAGTAAATCTGAGATCAATACAGACAGGAGCCGACAGCAGAGGAGTCGGCCCGTCAGCGCCGACTCGGTTGACTCCCGCCGGTCTTCTCATGCTCATCTTTCAAAGTCAAAATCGTCCCAGCACCACCACCACCACCGTAGTCACCGCTCTCCGGACTCACCCGATCACATGCAAGCTAGGCCCAGAAGCTGCACTGACATAAGCTGTTTGGAAAGACATCCATCATGGTCTCAAACTTCTCAGCATTCCTCGCGATCACCATGTTGTAAACGGCACCGCCGTCGGAACCAAGAAGATCATATTCAACGGTGTCATCATCATAGCCTCCGACACAGCCCGAGTCCTCACAGACACCCCCGCAACAAAAGTCCTCATCATCATCGTAGATGCTACAGTCCTGTCTTTTATCCCAATCATGGAGATTCCGACAGTTCCAGTTATCGTCATAACAAACGTTCTCCCCGCAATCACCACGAGGGCAACCGTGACGGAGGCCGCTACAGCAGTTTAACTCATCCCCATCGCACCGACTACCATGACCCAGCTATTTACCAGCAGGGTGAACATCATTCCCGCTATCTCCATGGATACTACAACCATGGTAATGTTCCTCGCCGTGAAGAGCACCACAACCGAGCCTCCGCTCATCAAATTCGCAAGAGCAAAGATCATCACCGTAGCAATCAACTAAATACAAAACGCCCGACCACACCGCGTCACGGAAACCAAGCCCACAGCTGTGACCAAAGCGATAAGCCACACTCAAAACATCACCATGGAGACCACCTTGGCCTTGTTCAGCATCACAGTTTAAAGGACCAACATCACCACGGCGTTCCTCACAGTGATCATCCGAATCGTCACCATGGAGATCAACGCAGTGGGATCCAGCAGCACAACCAGCGTGTCCATGGAGATGGAGGGCACCGTCCTCACCATAGGGCCCAACACGGTCAATTTGGAGGCCATCATAGGCCAGGTTATCAACATCATCAACACGGAAGCCACCATAGTCCCAACCATCAGCATCAACACAGCGACGACCGCAAGGACGTGCACCAACCTGATGATGAAGAGAGCCAGAATTCCTATCAAGAGCACCGCTATGGAGCTCACCACAGTCCAAACTGTCTCCATTATGGAGACAAACACAGTCCAAACCGTGAGGATCACCACAGTAATTTGCATCAATGTAGTCACGGAGAGCAACAAAGTGCAGGGCAAAAGCACCAGCGCAGAGACCATCACAGTCCAAACGGCCAACACCACAGCAGAGATCATACCGGTGCTCACCGTCAGCATCACCAGGGCGACCACAAAAGTCCAAATAGTCATCACCAGCATGAAGGCCACCATAGTCGCACCCATGAAAACCCCCATGGGGATCCAAGTCATCATCAGCCACATCAAAACAAACGCCTCTCCAAAAATGAGCCGGAACATGAGGACAAGCACAATGACACGAATAGACAGTCTGCTGCCAGTCTCCCTCCATACCAGAAGAAGGGAGTTCTTTCCTGCAAATTGGATTCAACAAAGAAGATGACCAGTCCTTCCGGTCGAGATGAGGAACAAACTGACTTCACCGGCCCATCAATACCGCAAGTATGCCCGTCAACATCTTGTAAAACACGCTCTATAAAGTTGACACTTGCCCGGGGTTCAAATGGAATTTCCGAATTCCAGTGAGTCCCCTATAAAGTCACTCATTGATTACCCCTTTCAGGGACAGCGGTTACTACATTGGACAGCTTATCAGGTTACAGGTTATCATGATTTGTGCACGAAAGGGTTAAGTTCCCTTTGTTGCTGTATCCTAAAAGTCAAATCAATATTTTCCATGTTCAGCTTGCTTGATTATAGGGTGATGCAAGGGTTTGAATAATTTCACCCCATATTGATTGCTCAGTGTGCATCTCATTGCTGTCACATTACATTTTATGGTTTTCCCAACCATAATTGAGCCAAAGCGCCCATTTTACATAAATAAATAAAGAAATCGTCATGCCGACCCACCAAATAAAAATGTTACCAAAAGTAAGAATACTAAAAAATAATGCTGATCTGGTCTCAATGTACTCACAAATTGACTCAGTGTGAAATCTGGGGCTGTTTTTAGTCGACACAGAGAGGACAGATTGGCAAGAAGCAATCTGTTGGATGTATGGCAAGAGGTGGATACTCGAGTTTAATGTAACATCTGCCATCGATGGGAATTGCTCTGCCAGTCATTATAGGTCGCTCCCATAAATAGATGAGCAAATATATATTTGTAATCAAATGAACTTTCAGACCATTGCAAACACATTCACTCCCAAACATATTTAAATGTCTTTTCAGACTCCACACATTCAGTCCCAGCTACTTATTTATATATTTTTTAAAGGTATAGAAGGGTCTGAAAACAGCTGGTACCGAATTAGTCAAGTGAAATTGGATAACTTTATACCTCTGATAATCTCTCATCGCACACTGAATGGGAATCGTGACCTAATTGACAGTTAGTTTGCTTCTCTTACTTCTGATAAGTGCTTATTTTGAGCGATGTCTTTCTCTCCTCAATACAGGAACCAACACATGAAGTGGACAAGATTATGTAAGTGTGGTCAAATGAGCTTGGTGTCGCAAGTGTAAGCATTAGGACAAGCCAGTGAATAAGAGGTCACGCAAACATGCCAATACATCGCATGTTTTTGTTCGTCTGTCTCATTTCCCCTTGCAGGATCCTGCAGGAAGATCACGAAGGTCTTCAACAGAGTTTTTTGAAGTCAGCAGTCCAGATGGAGTGCTTTGGAGAATTTTTAAACAGCCATAAGCTTCTGGAAGAGGAGCTGCAGAGGACGCGTGTGGAACTGAGCAACCTCACGGAGAGTTTTAAAATGTAAACAGACATTCAAATGACAGCTGCCCGCTGTTATTTGGAAAGCTTTGTGTCAACGAGATCTCTCTGTTTCCTTTTGTCTTGTTTTTAGACTCCATGAGAACTGTTCATCCACACAACAAACAAATAGCCTATTGGAACAAAAACTCAACTCTGTGGTAATTATTATTTATTTTTTTTTGTCCCAAATATGAATTGTCCCATGCACTTTGACGTTTTATTCATACCACCTTTTTGACAGACAAAGAGCATGGAAGGAGAGCGCGAGAGGTTGAGCCGACGAATTTCAGCATTGACAGAACAACTGGCTGGTGCAAAATATGCCAGCAATGCAGACACATTACATGTAAGACCTTAAAGACTTTCAGTGGACATAAAGGGGCGGGGGAGCCGCTCATCCATCAGTGTGGTATTTCTAGTTTCTTATTTGGTTCTCATTTTTATGTCTAACCGTTAAGGTGCAAATAAAAACAATAAGCCTGATTTTGTCTTGGTAAATTCGGTAGACATGGTACAATGTAACGAGGACTACAACAAGAGCTGAATGGGACTGTATCCAGAAAGCTTTAGACTCTCTTTATGCCTTCAAGACTGTCTGAGAACTGTCAATAAATCCATTTTGTACCGCTTATCCTATTCAGCATCACAGTGGTGCTGGAATGTTCAAAACACAAACCAGACTCTAAATTAAATCTTATCTCTTCAACGTTTATATTTTTATGGTTGAAGCTTGCAGTGATGTCGAAAATGACTGTGTGATATTTAAGAGGCACGTCAATTTTTGAGAGGTGGGAAATAGTCTCTATACTCTTTGTCTGATTTTCTGAAATCTTTTTATGGGCTCTCACCACTGCAAACCGCACCATAATAAACATATCAATACTTTCGTGACAATGTCAATCAAAACTGAGTATTATCATCATCATCATCATCATGAAGGCAGAATTTAAATGCGGCTTGTGGTTTGGAAGTCATTATATTGTAAATGTGTCAAAATGCTTCCTTTGAACTCAATGCTTAATCTCATTTTCAGGTGAATTCTGCGCTCGACAAACCCAACGACCATTTTCATCCGGATGATGCCATCAGTCAGGTTATGCTCCCTCTGGCGCCTCCTCCAATCCAGTTCATGGACAGCCAAAACTATGAAAAGGTCAAGGCCGCAGTGCAGGAACAATGCCTAGGTTCGGTTCCCGAGGAGGAGGAGTCCGACTGGTCAGAAATCGGGGAAGAGATCCCACGATTTATACTGACAGGCTCAAACAGAAGTCAAGCTTGGATGCACAGGGAAGGAAACACGGACAAAGACAGCGAGTCAGGTGGTGAGGAAATTGTCCGATATCAATCTCCCCGACCTCTGCAGGTACCTCATTTCCAGTTCACCATCCACAATGAGATTTTACCTGCCCCACCAGCCAATGCTTGCCTCTCAAGTATGACAGGTGAGAACGCATTTCGGATCACCGCCAGTCAGAACCTCGGCTCGACCATGCTGATCAGGTCAGCGAGCTTGGAGGAAATCCCGCTTGCTTGCCATCAAATGCCGAAGGAGCTGAGAGGCACGGAGGCCATGATGGACCTCCACCACTCTGGGGATGAAGCGAGTGACGATATGGATAATGAGATCATTCATCATTGGAGAACAAACAACAAGAGGGATGGAAGGTCATTAGAGGCCGATAGCGCTCCGTGCAGTCTGCAGTATGTCGAACAGATGCTCAACCAGTTCATGTGCGAGCCTCAGCGCAGCGAAGGAATATGTCAGAGCAGGTCGGAAATGCACGGCTGGACAGGAGGGATTGCGGAGGAGGTTTTAGGAGGGGAGCAAACACAACTGTGATCCCCAAAAATTCTTCACAAATCCTGAGCTCAAATACAAGTTGAAGTTTACCGAGCAGGATAGTTCAATGAAGCGCAACACCCGGACCATAAGAACAAGCAAGGCAAATAAGAACCAGAAATAATACTCAATTTGGTTTGTGCTGACAACTATGGGGTTAATGTAGGTCACAGTGATGCAATGTATCAAATTGAAAAAGTCTACATTTAATGAGATTCACTGACAGCTCTAAACTGAGCATAAAGACAAATGCACATGTATTCCTAATAATATGCAGTTTAACTAGGTTGTTTCCTTTCCAGTCCATTTAGCAGAATTGAGAATATGAATATGGCCTATTTGCTCTGTTGAAATCCCATTGTATTTTTGAATGTAGAATTAATGTATAGAAAAAAATGTACCGGTAATCATTGTCTTCGAAAGTGAAGCATCCATCCATCCATCCATCCATCTATTTACTAATCCGCTGATCCTCACGAGGGTCGCGGGTGTGCTAGACTCTCTCCCAGCTGTCTTTGGGCAGCTGAACTGGTTGTCAGCCAATCGCAGGGGACACACAGACAAATAACCATTCGCGCTCACAATCACACCCAGAGATCATTCAGAGTGCTCCCTTACCTTTCCTTGCATGTTTTGGGAATTTGAGAGGAAACCGAAGTACCCGGAGAAAACCCACGCAGGCACAGGGAGAACATGCAAGCAGGCCGGTGCCTGGAATCGAACCCTGGACCTCTGCGCTGTGAAGTGGACGTGCGAACCAGACGACTGCCACACCACCTGAAAGTGAAGCAAAATGCTAAAATACCTTAAAGACGCTTGTAAATAAGTACCGGTATTGCAATTGTGATATTAAGTGGGATTTAGAAGCATGATAAGTGACAGGATGAGCATTTTGTTCTGTATGTTGTATTTTTGTCGATATTCTGTATAAATGCAATCTGAAGAAATGAAAACATTGGTGTTGTTCTGTGCAAATATGTTTCCTCTGTCATAGTAATGATACCTAGCCTGTCAGGAGAATTATGCACCAGATAAGTCATCCGCTCTGGCCATGTCATTAAAGTAATCCAATACCACAAATAAAGACACGATTAAACATTGATTTGGAATGTGATGGACAAGTGATGTGCCTTTTTTTTTTTTTTTTTTTTTTTTTTTTTGCTTTTATCCATCCTCTGTGAACAGATTCAAATTCCCCTTGGTTGTTACTGTGTCAGCTCTAATCGACTGGTGAGCTGAAAAGGACAACCCCACCTGTCTCCTACCGTCAGCTGAGATACGTCACCCCCTTGACCCCGCACGGGTGCAGCGGGTATTCATAATGGAGATTCTGAAATGTGTCGAAGTCTGCGTATAGCAACAGTTGTGTTGTTTTATCGAATGTTTTCACAGAAGTCATATTGAAGGTTCCACATACTATAGGTTAAAAAAAATAGGTGGCTTCTGCCGGTGTTCAATGATGCAGAGACTGTCAATTCTTGTTCCTGAAATGGTAATAGCAGTGCTGCACCCTGAAGGCAGCATGGAATGTCACACAATTTCTTTAGGGGAGATCTTTTAAAACATGAACTGATCTCGGGAGGGAAGTCTGACGGTTGTGAATGCTGCTGGTTGTCTTTCTATTTTTTTTCTCCCCGACGACACAATTGGGTCTTAAAATGGTCAAATGTGTGAAAGAATTCCCCCCAAAAATTGTTCCATGTGGTTTGTAGTGATTTATACTGACTGGCCGATGAAATCACAGAGTTCTTGAAAAGTCACACGTATAGTGAGTCATGTAGAATGTATTTTAACTCAGGTGTAACTAACTACAGAGCATGGTTCTTTGCCCTTTACAAGGCTACATTCTTCAGTACAGTACAGTGTGCATTCACATTTTGTCACGTAATGGCTCATTGTATCCATCAGTGTTTTGTGTTCTCAAATCCACTTTGTCAACTTTGTCTGCCCTCTGAGTACGATGGATGCTGAGCAGACAATAGCCTGGATTCCCTGACCAGTTTAATAGGATAGGCAGGCATTAGCATTAAGATGCTCCCAGCATTCAGGTTTGCCAAATCCACTGTGTGGCACCCTGGGAGCTACACAGTGGTCGATTGCTTATTTGTGGACTTTTTTTTCCAGCACCTTTTGGGGAAACAACTAAGGTGAAGTTGAATGCATTAATGCTTGTAAATTGTGGTAATGTAGATGTAGCATTTTAGAAACGTGATCCTCAAAGATTTCACACAAATGTTTTGTTATTTTTGTATCTGGTCCATCTTACCGGTAGTTTGTTCTTACATCAGTTGCATTGCTGTTGTAGTTACCTGTTTTCAAATTGCAGATTTGAATCTCAATGTTTTCCGCTTTCTTACGCTTTCAACCAATCAGACGAGAACAGCCTCGTCCCTGTGTGCTGTTGCCGTTCTCCTTCCCCTACTCCCCCCGGTGAGACTCGGAGCCCTCCGCCGCAACCATGGTGGTGATGAAGATGAAGTTCCCCTTTCAGAAAAGGGTAAAGCTGGCTCAGGGACTGTGGCTCCTCTCCTGGTGTGCCACAGTAGCTGGGGCCATCACCTTCACCCTTGGGTGCATCCTCAAGGCAGAGCTACGCAGAAGGGCAGAGGTAGGCCATTTATTGTTTCTGATTTACAGTGTTGCACAAGCATTTGCGTTTTTGACATTTCGGCACTTAACACGGGAAACCATAAACACTTGTACTTAGAGCTTTTGTAGAAGTGCTAATATTATTATGTCCATTGGACAAAATATCACGTGCATCAGAATTTGCCAGGCCGGGATAAGCTTTGGACCTGATATAGGAATTGTAACAAAAAAAAAAGGGTAAAATGTCAACCAAGCTTAATTTAAATGTCACATTAAAATCTTGTCCTTCAAATGTGGAGGCCATTGACCCACTTTGAATCCTTATTCATTATCTGATGAGCCATATCCTGATCATCTTAATCACATTAATCCCTCAACTTTAACAGGATCGGTTTTCTCTTGTCTTTTCACGTGTATTTTAATTACAGCATACTTTGCGTTGATATATTTCAAATGCACAACAACAGCTGAATATATGCAAACCATCCCATACGTAATGAATTTTAACAGGATGACTTTATTTGACAAACATCCACAAGCTACTGTAAACGTAGAAGCTTCCAAATAAACATTTAACTCAAACCAGAAATATGGACCAAAAATTTTTTTTTCTGGTTTGATTTATGCTCAACAGTCTTGAATTTATAAACTGGAGTATGGTGGCTTTTGGAGTCCTATGATTTCATTCTATTTTATGTGACTCTCGTACAGGTAATGGATAATGCAGACATACATATCGTGCCCAACACCCTCATGATAGTTGGTCTGGCCTCCTTGGGTATCAACTACTTTGCATCAAAGATCTGTCAGGATGCCCTGGACGCTGGCCGATTTCCTCGCTGGAAGACCTTTTTGAAGCCCTACTTTGCCGTCTCTTGTTTCTTCACTGTCCTCATGCTGCTAGCGGTCATCATGAGCTATGCGATGAAAGGCAATCTGGAGTCTTCTCTGAAGGTGGGCCTGAGAAATGGCATCCGCTTCTACAAAGACACAGACACCCCAGGACGCTGTTTCCAGAAACAGAACATCGATCGCTTGCAGATGGACTTTCAGTGTTGTGGAAACAACGACCACAAGGACTGGTTTGAGGTCCAGTGGATCAGTAACCGCTACCTTGATTTCAACTCCAAGGAAGTGAAAGTGTAAGTCATGTGTGTGTGTGTGAGATGCATTACACAATGGATGAAATGGATAATCAGCAAACGATTCATTTTCCCAGGCGCGTCAAAAGCAATGTGGATGGCCGATATTTGGTCGATGGTGTCCCATTCAGTTGCTGTAATCCCACTTCTCCTCGACCATGCATCCAGTATCACCTCACCAACAATTCCGCTCATTATAATTATGAGTATGAAACAGAGGAACTCAACATCTACCTGCGGGGCTGCAGGGAGGCCCTGGTCAACTACTACATGGGCCTGATGAACACCATTGGGGCTGGAGTACTGTCAGTCTTCCTCTTGCAGGTATTTCGAGAGAGATACCTGACAATAAAGTGTGCAGAGTTGGTGATTGATTGTTGTCATGCACAAAAAGGATCATTTTTATTCCTGATGCCTCCTCATTCCCAGGGTTCCGTGCTGGTGAGTTTGCGCTTCCTGCAGACCGCTATGGAGGCTGTAGCAGGGAATGAGAACACAGAAATTGAGACTGAAGGATACTTACTGGAGAAGGGACTGAAGGACACCTTCATGGAGTACTTTGATCCTGTTCTCAAGTTTCTGTTGCTGAAAAACCAGGTGCAGGAGGGCACTCCTGCAGGCACAACAGCCCCAGCTTCCTCCTAAACATCGGGGTTGGTCACGCATGTGTATATACTTTTTACGAAGGGAATGAAAAACATTAAAATCCTGAATAATATCGTCTCCTTCCTAAAATAGTTGCCTATGTCATTTATTTATTTATATTTCATTCATGTTTTTATTTTTTCAGGAAACATAAAAAAATCGAACCAATTAGAATGATTTGTTTAGCAGGTTTTAGTGGAAATGGTCAGTATCCTGAAAAGATGTTAAGGGCAAACAATTTTGAGTGGTCAAAATATGACTTTGCCCATTATTTTAAGAAGGAGATGATATTATAGTTTGAAAATGTGTTTGGGGGGGGTGGGGGGGGATAGAATTTGTATTTGCAGTGGACCATCAAATTAAAGTACATCAAGATATTTCACATTCCTCTCCAAATTGTATAAAGTGAATCTATGTATTCTCTATTGAATGCATGCCTTGCAGCAGAATATAGACAAGAAACATGTATTTTGCTCCTTTTTTCAACTACACCAATTGAAACATGAATAATACAACTCAAAATATCTCAACACATTACAGTACTATGTAAGAATGTGTCTATTGAATGTTTGTCTCTTATATACATGGTATTTCTTTGCATTTACAAAAACACACACACACACACACACACAACCACTGTAGTCAGTTTTGATCATTATATTTGTGATTCCCTTCTGCTCTACTCCCACAAATACTTGTAGTTTCTCCAAGCCTACAGTATGCTCACCTACAGAGCCTACAGGGCTCACCGCACACACATTATGCCACCAAGTAAAAATGTTACAAAAATGTAATAATAGTAATAATAATAAATATAATACACAGGTCATTTTTGCCATCTAGCGGACGTGCATTTAATTATTCTGGCTGTCGCTATAAGTCTCTGATATGGATAGATGAATAAATATACATTATTTATAACTAGATGTGCCATAGCACAGTGGTTTGGAATCATCATTACAAAAAAAAAGTACTGATTCAAGTATTTTTGTGGGGAAAAGTAGAATAACAGAGGGGGCTCAAGAATTAAAATTTGAATGTCCTACTATACAGTAGACCAGGGTTGTCAAACTCATTTGTGTCATGGGCCACATTGTAGTTACGGTTTCCCTTGGAGGGCCGTTATGAATTTTGGGAAACCATATAAATGTTTAATCACCTCCACATATTACATACACAGCGCACAACAAATTGATGGATAACTAATTTTAAAATCAGAAGTCAAGAATAATGACTGTTATTGTGGATTACATATGACAATTTGAAATTTTGGTTCAGACTTTAGCAAGCATCATGGAACTTGACATGCTAAATTTGCTTTCGCGGACCACATAAAATGATGTGGCGGGCCAGATCTGGCCCCCGGGCCTTGGCTTTGACACCTGTGCAGTAAACTCATTTATTCCAGCTGTTACTTTGATAGTTATAATTCAAATGTATTTCAATTTCATTTCCTTTTTTAAAAACTATCAGACATGTCATGCATTATGTCTGGCTCCTGTAATGGTGAACAATGGGATTAAAAAAAAAACAGATTAAACTACTTCAGTAATGCATTGGAAGCCATTAAGAGTGTCTTCTAACGTGACCCCTCTGTTAGACCTGTTAATCTCATTTGTTAATACGACACCTGCTGCTCTTGCAGTCTTAAATTGTAACTGCATTACAGAACTAATTCTTCTTACTGTATTGTGTTGTCGTATAACATTGTAAATAAAGGTAACAATAATACTGTGCTGTAATGAAATAAATCAAAATGAGTTGTATTTCCTAATGGAGAATAACAAAGTCTAAATTTGCTGTATTGGGAGACTCACCAGTCATTCATTAAACGTTTGAGTTAGGTCATTTTTTTTCTTCTCTGACTTCATTTTATGGTGTAATTAATTGGAGACAATTGATAGCTATTTGATTAAAAAGGCTTTTATAAAACATGTTTGGGAGTCTGTACTGACCAAATTCCAGTTTACAATCTCCAAAAGAGATCCAAGATTTTGTCCTCTATTTTTTTATGTCAATTTCAATCTACCCGGATAATATGATGATGATGATGATGATGATGATGATTATTATTATTAAGGGAAGGCATTAGCTGGGCGTATCGTACAGTTCAACATTCACAAATGTTTGGCCCTCACTGGGATACAAGGACATTTTTTGAACCCGTTTGAGTCCTGCTGACGAAAAAAAAGTTTCATGGCAACTAGTTGTTGGAAAGATGTTAGTCAGCATCCCTACAACATGAGCAATTAAGTTGCTCTTGAGCAAGACCCTGATCCCACTGGTCCCGAGTTGAAGATGTGCAACACTGCACACTCCTTTTGCTCTGATAAGCTTTTTTGTATGTACAGTACAGTATATGTGTTATCCGGTTTCGAGGTGGTCAATGAAATCAGAGTATGATAAATACGAAATATACAAATTAAAAATTGTATACGTTACAATTTGATGTACAGTATTATATTTCTTTTATTCTATATCGGTGCGTATTTCCACTTTGACTCCGTCTTACTGTAAGACTATATCGGTTTACTTCATCTGACTGCATAATTATAGCTGCAGCGACGTCAGGATCATGTGATATATGACGTCATGTCCACTGCCTACCGGAAGCAATCTGACTCTATTTTCTATTCGTCATTTCCGAATCAATTTAGTCTACTTTTGAATCATTCCGTTAAACCACACGCTATGCGTTTATTTCGGGTTATGTTGTAACGTGTTCTGTTACATACAGTTTTGAACACGATTTTTGGCTTTTGAACGGCGCTGTCACGCCCAGTAGTGAGCCGTTCAGAAAAAAAACGATTCGTTCGTCACTCGAGCGCTCGGTAACAATCGTGCTTGTCCGGAAAGCTAGTTTGAGACGAGCTGTCGGCGAGGTAGTAAATCAGTGGTATGCGAAAGTGTCTAATGATTTAAGCTACCTTACTTCATGCCCACAGACGACAGAGGAGTGGAGCAACAACTACACTCAAATTGACAGGTTGGTCGACCACTACGAAATACTGCTCTTCCACTAGCACTTAACAGTTTAGGCGGCATGCTAACATCATTAACGCTAATAGTTTTAATGTTGTTTTTTGTTGTTTGTTTGTCTTTTTAAGTCTAAGTCCTGCCAGCTGGGTGAATGTTATTGAAGTAACATGAAAAGATTGTTTTGTACATTCTTGGCACCTTGTTTAGAAACCTTAAATTGATTTGAGTCTGAATGCTTCATCCTTGGAACAATTGTGTGACCGTGTATGGACATACTCGGTAGAATTCGTTTCCCAATGTTTATCTCGCTAGCCATTGTTGCCGGCCTTAAATAACGCTTCGCACAAGTTAGCTGGTAGCATTATGGCGATGAACTAAGTCCTGTGGAATCCCTTGTTGATGGGCAGACGAACAGTGACACATTGAGAATAAACGATAAATCCACGTCAACAAGTTATCATTGCTCAACCGGGGTGTTTGTTTACGTCTCCATGTCGACAGTTAAAGAAATATAAGTTAGTTAATCAACTGGAAAGGGTGCTTCCCTGTTTTGAAATAACGTCATCGCACAACTAATCGTCATAGCCTACATCAAGCTTTTTACTGCGGTCAGGCCAGCCTCCACTCGAAAAATTGAAGTCAAGCCAGCCGCCACAGGGATTGTTAATACTCGGCACAATACTACGGTAATGTGCCGCCATCGAGCGGCATTTATTAGCGTTGGTATTATCGGGGAGGCGAAACAATTCTCTGCTGGAAGGGGGTCGACTTGAGTCAGAACGTTTGAGAATCCCTGTCTTAAATAATGCACTGATATGCACGCAGGTTTTTAGTGAAACTCAAGACCTCTCTTTGTGTTTCAGATTTGAGATGGAAGGAGATGTGTGTAGCTTCCCCCCAGAGTCGTCAGATGACCACTCACAAAGAGGAAGTGTAGCTTCTTCTGCTACACTCTCCCACTGTATGTGCAATGTATAAATCATCATGTGAAATACTCATCAGGACATATATCTTACATGTATTTTAACTGTTTTCCTCGCAGCTCAAGATGTGCTCATATACCTGTTTGGTGACAGCGTGGTACACTTATCAGTAGAAGGGCTCGGCAATGTTACTGTGCAGGAGTTGGGTCGTTCTGTTCGAGAGGCTCTTCATGTTCCTGAGTGTGCACAGGATGCCTTTGCCTTCTGGCTGTCTTCTCCCCTCCTTGGTAACAAAAATATACTGTACAGACGTACATCCTTGTCAGCTCTGTCCTTAATTTTTTTTATTTACAGAACATTTGCCTTTTTTTCAATGTTATTTTAATCCATCCATCCATTTTCTGGGGCATGCTGGAGCCTCATCCCAGCTGTCTTCGGGCAGTAACACTGAACTGGTTGCCAGCCAATCGCAGGGCACACAGGGATGAACAACCATCCGCGCTCACACTTGCACCTAGGGACAATTTTGAGTGTTCAATCAGCCTGCCATGCATGTTTTTGGAATTTGGGAGGAAACCGGAGTACTCGGAGAAAAGCTACGCAGGCAGGGGAGAACATACAAACTTAACACAGGGAGGCCGGAGCTACAATCGAACCCACGGCCTCTGCACTGTGAGGTCGACATGCTAACCAATCGACCATTTTTAAGTGAGAATAAGAACAAGAATTCAGAATTTTGAGACTCACTAATAGCTGAGTTCTTGTAAATTAAACAAAAACTAAAATGTGGCTTTGTCCAACTTTCATTGTTCTGTTCTCATGCTTTTAACATTAACTTGAATGACTTTTTTTGTGAACACACAACTTATTTGCAATTACTGGGCCACCTTTGCGGAAGTGTAGCACAGAAGTGACAAAAAGAAAATATTTTATCTGAAGAATTATTTTTCCAAACCAAGTGTGACAACAATTCCAAGACTCGTGTCACAGCAGGTGTTTAAAGTCAAAACTATAAGTTTTCCTCTTTGAAGTTAGCTGTTGAGTCTGGACAGAATAGGGTATGAACTGTGAAGACATACCTACATGCTGTACAAAGACTATAACTTATGAATCATATGAGGGAAAATGAAATGCTAATTGAGAATTTTTGTAATTTTAACTGCTTTATATTTTCCTACACACAGGAACTTAACAAATACAAATGTATCCGATTATCTTGTGTGCCTCTTGTTTTCTTCAACAGAGCTGCAGTTAAAGGCAAGGCACCAACCGTACAAGGTGTGTCGCCAGTGGCAAGACTTGCTGTATCGCTTCACGGAAGCCTCAGAGGAAGACATTTCACAAGGTGAAATATTGGGCCCAAAGCCTTTATTTATTTTTTTTTAGTCTTGTGTTAAATGCTGAAATCACATTTCAACATTTTTAATGTTGAAATGTGATTTCATGCTCAGAATGAAAAAGGATAATAGTGTGAATGTGTTTCAGAATTTTTACATTCAAATATAGATACATAAAAAGTGACTTTAAGTCTTTGTAAAAGTAGTATGACAAGTCTATCCAATTTACTCAGTAATATCACCTCACCTTCATGCACTCAAGGATTTCCCCTTTTCACTCTTCAGATGAGCCCTGCCTCCAGTATCGTCGGAACGTGTTTTATCCTAAATTTAAAGAGCTGCAGGTACTTCTTGATCTTTATTCCCAGTGAAGGATGGATGGATGGACTTTGTGTGTGTGTGTGTGTGTGTGTGTGTGTGTGTGTGTGTGTGTGTGTGTTTTATTTTTGTATTAAAATCAATGTGAATAGCAACACGATTCAGTTTTAATGTCTCTTTCTGTTCAATCAATCACAACCATGTGCTTCAGATAGAAGATGAGGGAGTGCTACGACTTTTATATGAAGAAGCCAAGCACAATATCATCACTGGACGATACCCCTGTGACCCTGAACACTGGGCCTCTCTTGGAGGCTTATCTCTTGCTCTTGATGAGGGGACAGGCCTGGAAAGGCAGAAATTGACCTCTGCTATACGGTAAGTAAAGGCTGGGGTATTAGCAGTCAACAGATGTTTTCAGGCTTTTCTGCTATGAATGAGTCTTTTGTCACGATTCAGAAATGCCACCTCACACTTGCATTTGAATGGACTAATCTCCTGTCCCTCAACGCAGATAATGTTCATCCATCTGATTAGGGTACGCTCTGTGCTAGTGGCCAGCCAATTGAAGAGTCCCAAATCTGATTATCAATTGCAACTTGCCTCTCGCACTGGGTGAAAGCAATTTGAGGTCCACAAAATTTGAGAGTCTTTGCGATAATTGTCCTATTCATTGACTGCATTCATATGTTTCAGAGACGTTGCTTTATCGCCACAGATACACATCTCAATTTAAATAGTTAAGTATTGTTGTAAAAAAAAACAACAAAAAACAACACGTCCTTTTCCTGTACTCTATTCGTACAGCTGGATCTCGCTGCATATACAAAGGTAATTTTTGTGATGAAAGATCATGTGATAAGACATGGTATTTTTTTTAACATGATGATGCACATGGAATTTGTCATGGCTATATAAGTGGTGACAGACGGTCGGCCGCTCATGAAAACTAATTACAGAGCGCGCACACTCCCTTGGGCCCCGTGATGGAAATGCACAGACATTTTGGAAAAAGGCCAACACTTTTTGTGTGAGGAGTAGGGTTTGCCTTTTTGTGCAGTCACCACTGCATCATTCCACTATTTTCTACAGATTTCAAGTATCAATGGATTATCTTTTTCCCTACAGTAATGCATTCTGAGGGTGGGATTGAGGCACTAAAATATTAGAGGCCTGACACATCACTTTAACACGGGAATTTTTGGAATAATTTTGTGTTTTTAAGATAATAATACTTAACTCTCGACACAGGCTAAAATAGTATTCATTTTATATTTGTGAGGAGTAAATTATTTTTTTTTGTCACAAATAGTTAATAAAACTGTAGTTTTTCCACTTCCCCACTGGATAATGCAATTCTCCCTACACTCAGAAGACTGTACTGCGATGCACTTGCCTAAAAAATTATATCTATGTATGTTATTAATGGAATACTATACTGTATATGAAAATATCCGGGGCTGAGTGCCTGGAGCAATGTTTGTTTATTCAAATACAGTATAAGATAAGATAAGATATCCTTTATTCGTCCCACAATGGGGAAATTTACAGTCCACAGCAGCAAGATAATGGGGAGAAAGAAGAAAAGAAAACAAACACCGTTCAATTAAGTGCAATATAAGTGTTCTATCATTGATCCTGAATTCATCCACCCGCAGAGAGAAGAAGCTGTCTTCTTTCCTACCGGCACATGTGGCCATGGCGAGTGGAGGTTTGTTCTCCACGCTGAGAGGGAAGTCAAGCCGTCAGGCAGGGTTGGAGCAAAGTCTCTTGGAAGAGTACAGAAAGATCAACATATCTGGAGAATGTCAGCAAGACTCAGAGCTTATACATCAGTACCTGAGAACATGTCACTCTCTTCCTTATTATGGGTAAGAGATCCTTTCATTAAAAAAAAAAAAAATGGTGACATCTCAGAGAATTGACAACTTTAGGAACTGTTCAAACAGGTGTGCTTTTTTTGATGGGGAGATTGACAAACCTGCCCAAGGAATCCTGCAGAGAGTCAAACGCAAAGCTGTCGCAGTCGGTATCTCGCTGGAGGGAGTTTATGTGATGGACGTCAAGGACAAAGTGGGTGCTCTTTGTTTGTCAGCTTTGAAATACATAAGGCACTTTCCATTTCCCACCCGTAACACTGACTGCTCTTCTTGGATATATGTCATTGCAGCATGTGCTTCTCGGCCTGCGCTTCTATGAGCTTTCCTGGGACCACAGCTCCCCCGAGGAGGAAGGGGACTCGCACATCTTATGGCTTGAGTTTGATGGCGACGAAGATGGTACTCCAGTTAACAAGTTGCTGAAAATTTACTCCAAACAAGTAAGTATGTTATGTTGATTAATTTTGTGCAGGTCCATCATTATTTCATGGCTGGCAGAGTCCAGACTTCAATCGGTGTTGAACGTACTGACTGATGTCAAACACAGGCGTAGCACAAGCAGACACAAGTTTAAAAACAAATGAAAAAAACCCAACGTGTGTGTGTGTGTGTGTGTGTGTGTGTGTGTGTGTGTGTGTGTGTGTGTGTGTGTGTGTGTGCGCGCATACACAGATGTAACACAGCTGCACTGACCTCCAACCCTTTATTTCTTTTCTTAAAACTCACCTATTCTGCAGTGATTTTAACCACTTTTACACATTTTTGCTTTGTTTTCTTTTTCAAAATGTGTGTTCGTGGTGAGGTGTTGCATAATTATCCCTCTATTACATCCTCCTGTCAGGTCTTGATTTCATCATGTGTAGGTGATGCATTCATGGGCCACACAAAATGAAGGCTCCGCTGAACTGTATGTTGTACATTTGTTGGTCAGGCAGAGCTCATGAGTGGCTTCATCGAGTTTTGCGTGGAGCTTCGGTCAGTGTCTGAGGGAGGAGCTGCAGCAGAAATAGATGGTGATTCAAGTCGGTCACAACAAGCCTCTGGCAAAGATGACGGTGACAAGCATGGACGCGGGGGACGGCGAGGGATGTTGCGCCGGCAGAGCAGCGTGGTGTGCAGCCGGGTCCATTCGCTTAACACCATAAACTATGTTGACAATGGTGAGTCTTCCTCCTCCATCACAATGCAGAGACGAGTCAGCATCCGAAGAGTTAATTCAACTTTTGTCTATTCTCTCTTTTTGTCTCTCCAGGAAAAGAAATCAAATGCTTAAAGCCCAAAAGAGCTGCATCCTTTTTCACGCGACAGACATCTGGGCCCATGTACTCTTCTGTGCAAGTGACAGAGAGCTCAGAGCAGGGTTAAGATTCTCCACCTGCAGCAATGCCACCTACTCACAAAGACCAAAACAGACCATTTAAAAAGACGTTTGACTGGAGATGGACCCAAAAACACACTAACACTGGACCAAGTGAGAGATCTTATGATGACCATATTTATCTTCTGATGTATATGTTTTGCATACATGTTAATGTGAACACCCAAGTGACTTGATAAGGATCACAAGTGCTGACAACAGCCTAACATACAAAGGAGAAAAGCCTCGTTGAAATAACTGCTACTGGTGACTATCGCGTGAACCTTTTTGACTGCTCTGCGGTGCTCGTGATCAACATTCAAAAACTTCTCTTCGGTAGAACAGCTGACTTACCTCGATTTCCTTTGCAACCCTCGATAACCTGAGTAACTCATTACCACCACAGCTATGCCTATTATGACCGCTTATCCTTACAAATTTCGGGAAACATCCTTTCAAGTCTCTTGTTTGCTTCGTTTTAAGCTGTCAGTGCCTTGTTCCAGAAGGTCAGCTAGGACACAAAACTATAGGAATGATTCATTCTTTTTTTTTTTTTTGTGACTAAGGCAGGTCAATCAATGTTTGCTGACTTGGGCACTATGTGATGCAATCAACAGCAGGTGACGTTCTCAGAATGCAAAAGTACAAGTTCACTAAACATTTAAACATAACATTTGCTTGATCGTGTCTTTTCATTGCAAAAAAAATGTAAGAAGCTGATGGGACTGGGCTTTTACATGTGCCTTATGTTAAACTGACCAAGAAATACTGACTTCATAGCACAGCAAACAACAAAACCTCACGAAAGGGGCATCAAACGGAGTAGACATCAAGTTCCGTCATTTCGAGGCAACCAACTCCATATTTGTACTTTTCTACGCTCGTATAGGTTTGATATGTTGTGTATCCAACCTGTCACAATTAAATGTGTTGTTACTAATTTTATGCATGTCACATTGTAGACTAGGCATTCCAATACGTGTTTTCATGAAAGATAAGGCTGCACTGTTTAGACATTTTCTTTGTTAGGGGTTGTACACAAAACTGGAGTCACGCGTTTCCTCTTAGGCAGTCACTTTGCAGAAGCTTGCAGAAGTGCCGTTCATGTTTTGTGTTCCGTTTGTTCCTTCAGATGGCTATCGTGTGCTGCAGCAGTCAATGGAGTTTGGCTTTTGTCTGACCGGTGCACTGTGTACTTTCGAAAGTATTTTCCACATTTAACTCACTTTACTCTGTAGGCAGTAGAAAGACATGGAATTGCTGTCAGTCATTCAGCCAGTCATTTCTTCTGCTTTTGATGATTAGCCTTTTTTTTTCCCCAACATTTGCACTTCATACTGAGTGAGTGTAAGAAGTCGTTGAGACCACGCCACACTTCAGAATAAGATATAAGTTACTGGCTTTTATTGAATAACACTGAATATATTATATATACACAATTTAAATACACTTTTTCAGATGACCATCCAGTGTCGTCTTTTGTTTTTGTTTATTTTTTTTAGCTACACAAGCTGGCAATGATAATGTCCTACTTAATGGTGCCGAAAAAAACAGCAGCTGAGGAGAAGTTGTGGTCAATTTTTTGCTAATAAAAACGACCATAGGCGTTTTGTATCGACAAAAATGACCATGAAGAGTAAGGTGTTTTTAGCCCCCAAAAAGGACCATGTATAGTAAGGCGTTTTTAACCGATAACTTGAACATGTATAGTAAGGCATTTTTAGCCGACAAAAACAATCATGTATAGCAAGGCGTTTTTAACCGATAAAATGACCCTGTATAGTCAGTTTTTAGTAGACAAAACAACCATGTATAGAAAGGTGTTTTTCGCTCCCAAAAACGACCATGTGGAGTAAGGAGTTTTTAACCAATAAAACTACCATGACAAAAACGACCATATACAGGAAGCCGTTTTTAGCAGAAAAAAACGACCATTTATAGTAAGGCCTTTTTAGCGCCCAAAAACGACCATGTAAAGTAAGGAGTTTTGAGCTGACAAAAACGAACATTAATAGTAAGGCGTTTTTAGCCCCCAAAAAGGACCAAGAATAGTAAGGCGTTTTTAACCGATAAAACGACCATGTATAGCAAGGAGTATTTAGCAGACAAAAACGACCATGTATAGTGAGGCGTTTTTAGCTCCCAAAAACAACCATGTGGACTAAGGAATTTTTAACCAATAAAACGACCATGTATAGTAAGACGTTTTTAACAGACAAAAACGACCATGTATAGTAAGGCGTTTGAAGCCCCCCAAAACGACCATGTATAGTTAGGCGTTTTTATCCGAAAAAAACGAACATGTACAGTAAGGCGTTTTTAGCCGAAAAAAATGACCATGTATAGTAAGGCGTTTTTAGCCGAAAAAAACGACCATGTATAGTAAGGCGTTTGAAGCCCCCCAAAACGACCATGTATAGTGAGGCGTTTTTAGCTCCCAAAAACAACCATGTGGACTAAGGAATTTTTAACCAATAAAACGACCATGTATAGTAAGACGTTTTTAACAGACAAAAACGACCATGTATAGTAAGGCGTTTGAAGCCCCCCAAAACGACCATGTATAGTGAGGCGTTTTTAGCTCCCAAAAACAACCATGTGGACTAAGGAATTTTTAACCAATAAAACGACCATGTATAGTAAGACGTTTTTAACAGACAAAAACGACCATGTATAGTAAGGCGTTTGAAGCCCCCCAAAACGACCATGTATAGTTAGGCGTTTTTATCCGAAAAAAACGAACATGTACAGTAAGGCGTTTTTAGCCGAAAAAAATGACCATGTATAGTAAGGCGTTTTTAGCCAAAAAAAACGACTATGTATAGTACGGCGTTTTTAGCTGAAAAAAACAACCATGTATCGCATGGCGTTTGTAGCCGAAAAAAACGACCATGTATCGTAAGGCGTTTTTAACACAAAAAACGACCATGTGTAGTAAGGCGTTTTTAGCCCAAAAAAAAATGACCATGTATCGAAAGGCGTTTTTAGCCGAAAAAACGACCATGTATAGGAAGGCGTTTTTAGCCGAAAAAAACGACCATGTATAGTAAGGCGTTTTTAGCCGAAAAAAAC